AGAACTTCATACTATTAGGTGTGCCTCCTATTCCATCAATTAACTTGGAAACAGAAGAATCATTTAATAGTGACAAATCTCATAACGACTTACCTCGCAGAAGCACTAGAGAAAAGCGTCAAACTGATCCTGGCCCGGGTATGGTACCCAATACTCAAAGGCATCAAGCAAATGCGGTTACGTTTGAGCCAACGACATATAAGCAGGCAATGAAATCAAACGATAATGAATTGTGGAGGAGAGCCATTGAAGAGGAAATGGATGCACTCAACAGAAACAATACCTGGACAGTCGTGCCTCGACCCAACGATCGTAATGTGGTAGGATCTAAATGGGTGTTTAAAATCAAGCACAAAGCCGATGGTTCCATCGAACGTTACAAAGCTCGTCTCGTCGCTAAAGGGTTCTCTCAGCAACCTGGTACAGATTTCGATGACACATATGCTCCTGTCGCTCGATACGATTCATTGCGCCTTTTACTTGCCTTAGCATCCCATGAAAGATGGAAACCAAGGCAACTTGATGTAAAATCTGCCTTCTTGTACGGAAAACTAGATCGGGAGATATACATGGAAATTCCTGAAGGGTTTAAGGAATTTGGTAAATGTTATCTTCTACGAAAGTCAATCTACGGGTTAAAGCAATCCCCTCTTGTATGGTACGATACATTATCAAGCGTCCTAAATAAAGGTGGATTTGCTCCAACTAATTTCGACCCATGCATCTTCACAAATTTCGAAAAACAAATCTTTCTCGCAATTTACGTTGATGACATTCTGATCTTCGGTCCAAATAACAGTACGATAAATGAGCTAGAGAAAACTCTGCATTCGACATTTGAATGTACGAATTTAGGCATTGCTCACTATATACTCGGAATTCAGGTCGATATCACAAACCAAGGCATATCGTTAAGCCAAAGGGCGTACATCATTAAAATTCTACAAAGATTCGGAATGCAGGACTGTCACCCTGTTGGTACACCTCTCGAACCTGGTATCCAACTTCGAAAAGGTCAACCAGAGGAAAAATTAGATGACCCTACCATTTATCAATCTATAATAGGTTCCTTAATGTACGCCTGTATTGGTACGCGACCTGACCTTGCACATACGGTTACACTACTCTCCCAGTTCTCTTCGCGTCCCAACCAATTCCATCTAGCAGCAGCAAAAAGGGTACTTTGTTATCTAAAAGGCACAGCTGACTGGACACTTAACTTTCCACAAGCTAACGATTCTATTCTTCACGGATTCTCCGATTCTTCTTATGGTAACTTTATTGATGATCGAAAATCTTGTTCTGGATATATCTTTCGGCTAGGGGAAGCAAGTGTCAGCTGGAGCTCCAAGAAACAAAGGACAACCGCACTCTCGACAACAGAGGCCGAATATATGGCCATGTCAGATGCATCTCGTCAAATGATTTGGATGCAAAATGCCTTAAGAGAACTCAAACTCTGCTACGATTCAATATTACATGTGGACTCAAATGGAGCAATCCATCTGGCTAAAAATCAGAAAGTATCCCAACGTTCAAAACATATTGATATAAGATTTCATTTTTTACGAGAACATATTGATAATACTTTTAACTTGGTATACGTGGCTTCTGAGAATAATTTAGCAGATATATTGACTAAACAATTGGCTAAACCGAACCATCAAAGAATCTCGGCTATAGTACGTTGCAGTCCTGAGGGGAAGTGTTGTAATTAAGGCAGCAACATGACTGCAGTAGACAAATAGTACATATTAGAATAATATGCACTGGCGCCATAAGATATGATTAACCCATATCATCACTCACTGGCATGAATAGTAGTTAGCCAATAGAAGCCTGACAGCATACATTGGCTTCAGGATCTCCAACAACCTTCCCGTTTAGGTTAGATTAGGAAGTATGTTGGAGTTCACACTAGTGTGCGGAAAACCCCGCTTTCATGTATATAGAGGGACTTCTTGCCACACATAGAGAATTATAGCAATTTAATCACAATTAACTATCCATTAAACATCAGTAGACTTCGTCGTACATTAAACAAACTCATCATAACTCTAATTTATCCTCATACTTGGTATGTCATTCTTACAATTTCCGGAACCATTCTAATTAGGTAGTGGTAGGGCAACGCTCCTGGATAGACAAAAGAAGCACTAAGGGGGTACGCACCAGATGGGGAGCACGATACAGGAGAAGAGTTGTGCCGGGAGAAAGGATGATTCTCAGGTGGCCAATGGAGGGAGTTGAGACTAGTCTACACAGAGGATATAACGTATGGGAGAGTACGTGGTAGATGGTCTTCCCAAGGAACAAGTTATTAATTCCTATTGAGTTATTGTCTTTCGAGTACATCTGTATTCATTAACCCTTACAAAAGTATAGCTAAAAGGATATCGCTTCCATTGAGGATCCGGGTTACATGTAAACTGAGAATATGTGTGCAAACACCAATTATTATTGTGAAAAATTTTCAGTACAGCTGGGGCTGGATGGTGCAGTGGTACATCATGCGAGCCGTTCTACCTTGTAAGTACTGGGTAGCTTAAACACTTACCTCATGAAAACCAGCTGAAAGCTGGTCCAAGTTTATCAAAACCTACATACCACTCTCTCTCACGATGATATTATGCTTGTTGGATGATAAAAGCACCCTTGAATTAGCACAAGATTTTCACGCTTTTCCCTGTGGTGGGTATGCACTGATGAGGTTGTATGCCGTGAGGGTTAACCTCGAGTGGTAACTGCAAATGAAATCTGAATGTGAGTGTTCTAAATGACAAGTTGAGTCATCCTAATTAAAGTACATATCTTTCGATTAAAACCTGCATGGGCCTCAAGGCGCAAAATCAGGATATCGAAATATATATATGTTGGAAATCTAGACTTAGTATATCTGAAGGTTTAGATTTCTAAATATGATCATCAAGATCAATTCAATTGATCCGATTGCATATGGTTAAGCTTAGCTGAGCGACATGAGGTTCACTGTTATCTGAAATTCAGTGGCTAGCAAATGCTACCTTGCGATAATTAAGTGGCTGGTTGTTGCTAGATCACTTGGAGCTTGGGATCACTAAAGTCTCGGGGGTCTGTATTTAATGATAGACTTACTTGTATATTTTAAACTAAGTTAACGGAGTATTATATATTATTAATTCATATTGAGAAGAGAGTTTGATATCACATACAACTATCAATAAAATCTTGTCCGAAATTGTACACTTGATCTTCGAGATATTTCCTCCTAGAAATCCTTGACAATTTCTAACAATATATCTGTATATCAGCACAACTGGCCACACAACCGTTATGCGGAGGGTGAAAGAGAGATGAACTTGCACCATTAAAGACACCCAATATGGCGCAAAGCACAGGCAACATTATTAGCACTAAATTTGTGCCTAATTTCATGCTACCCCGCACATGCAAAAGCTTGAGTGTTACGGTTCGACCGTTGTTTGAGCTTAGGTGGATACCTAAGCCTGATACTAAGAATTCTTACGATGAGGCTGTATGAGGGGTAGATGAAGCTGAACGAAACGGCACTACTAGTCAGGAGGCTGAAGCGTCATTACAACTTAGTTACACCTGGAAATACGTGGTTGGGTAAGAAGTATTGTTCCTAAGGACAAGTCACTAGTCTGTAGATTCACGAGGAGGATTAATTCTTATAAATACCTGTTAGTAGTAGCTAGAGTTAGCTTTTCTCCTCATATAGTTTATTAAATCGATTTACTCATCACCAACTCTGTTTCCGTCACATTGAGAAAATCACTTAATGGCAAAAGGAAAGCTAGATTTCAGTTTGAGGGAAAGTTGTTCATGTTAAGACCTAATATATACATTAGTATTACGGGGTAAATAACGTATGGTTCACATATTTACCTGACTGTTAGTGGTCACCAGCTGGGTAGTAAGTCTGTATGACATGTTATGTTACGGAAGATCTAGGTCACGTGATAATGGCCTTCGGAGAAAGTAAGAGGCGGGAAGACAGATCACTCGCTCCGTTTAGGACACGATGTGGCTCCTAGTCTGATGTCTTCTAGCACAAGAGGGACGTGATAACATCCGCGACTGTACTGGTGAAGGTATTCAAACTCCTAGAAGGTATATTGTTCTATTCAGTTTTACATTACATAAGATATGTGGTGTGTGCCCTAGCGTGGCACGTGATATGTATGTAACCTCATGGAACCTCAACGAGTAAAGGACACGAGTAGAAGACATTAGTGTTGGCTTTACAGAACTGGACCACTCGTGGAATATGAATGGTGTATATGTGACTGTAAATATGTATTGTAATTTTGTTATGTCTTTATTAGTATATCAATTGTTATTTCATTCCAACAGTTCACAGTTGCAAGGAATACTAATGGCGGTTAGAAATGCGGCAAGTTCCAACATCTAGATTCTTCAATTAATAAATAAATTGTTGGAGTAATACTTTGATAGTCTTTCATAGAGAAAATTGTAAACTAACTTTGGATATCTGATTTCTACAGTATCAATATTCTAACTGTGACAATTACTAGCACTGGCCGAAGCAAACAATCTACGTACCAATAGACAATACCTATTTTTTGAGCAGAGATGATTTCCTGTCCAATCTTCTTTCGTGGTTATCCTTATCCTTTGACACATTACTACTATATTTCGAAAAGCCAATGTGCAAATTTCCATTACTAGATGCTAGCTTGACACAGGTGAGTGTGGAGTTATGGTCCCCATCAACTCTCAATTATTAAATCACACCGTTCCCAATCTGTATTTCCAGATTCATATAATTTGTGGATTGGAATTTCCCCAACTATTTGAAACACATAGAATTTCACACCTGCTTGTAGAAAGGGACGGTTAATAAGGGAAATGCCAGAGGAATGGGAAAACTAACCATTATCTTGTGTGTGTCTACTGAATGAATATGTACTGCAAGTTTCCCCTGCGGGGACTCGAGGGTGTGAAGGATAATTGTAACTAGGAGATGCCAGATTTTTTCATTCTGAAATTTCTGTCCAATCAATAATTTCGCCACTTTTACATTGGAAATATACAACTCCGTACACGGTAGGTAACAGTTGTAAAAGACCGGTCAAAGCCACAATTGAAGTAGTGCTGAAAAGCTTCATTTCGAGAATGTACTTTTTTCGGAATCAAACTGTGAACTCGGGTCAGAAAGCCGTATGATATGAAGACCAAGGTTCGGTGGAGAGGAAATACAAGAAATAATGAGTTTTGATTATGGACTTGTCTTTATTATTCTACGCCATTATTTTCAATGGTGGGAATCAAAAGAGCGTTGGTATATAAACTTGATGAACTTTTCTTCCAGGACTAAGACTCACTTATTCAAATAAATTTGACGAGATTTTCTTTCATAAGATCAATAAATGCATTTGCAATAATGGACGCAGCAGCCTGTGGGGTCTATTCAATCACCCGTTGCGCCGGAGGAGTAAATGAGCCAGGCTTTGACTAAAAAAATGCTCCTGAATTATAATTATTTAACTTGAGGAAACTTTATTAAACTTTTAGAAGGAGAATCATTTTGTTCAGCCGAGGGACATAGTACAATGAGTATCTCATCCCCAATCCTTTATCCGACGAAAGCCCATGTTGGCATTGTCTGTTGTCTAGTTCTGATGGGAGATTTTTCTCAGCATGAACATGCTAGACGGCGCGATGGAAACAAAGGCAAACAAATGAAATCGGCGTACGTGAAGTGTATTAGTAAAAAGCTTCATTCATTACCGTACACTGCCAGACGTGCCCTCGGAGTCGAATCCATTCATGTTTTGATATCCACACAATTCGCTACAAGCTCGCCAATTTGCAAAGTTTGACTTCATCTCGATCCTTGTGGATCAAATATGTCGAGTAGCTGGTGGAGATTTTGCAGGAGTAAGGGAGCTTGTTGTTATTTCAATGAGTCAGGCACGAGTCTTGCACCCAATTCGACATGACACAGGGTGTCGATTCCAAAAGATCAAATATTGACAAGATGATCAATTTGGCATGAATTGAATATCAAGAAATAAACTTTCTAGATTCGGTCAGCTAAGCCTCACCTGAGACCCCCCCGTGTCATCCAAGAGGACATGCTTTTCTGTCTCTTCATCTTGAGCTGTGTTAGAAATTGTCAAGGATTTCTAGTAGGAAATATCTCTAAGAACAAGTGTACAATTTCGGAAAAGAATTTATTGATAGTTGTATAGGATATCGAACTCTCTTCTCAATATGAATTAATAATATATAATTTTCCGTTAACTTGGTTTAACATCTGCAAATAACTCCATCATTAAATACAGATTCCCAAGGCTTTAGTGATCCCGAACTCCCAGTGGTCATGCAACAACCAGCCACTTAATTATAGCAAGGTAGTATTTCCTAGCCACTTCATTTCAGATAACACTGACCCTCTTTTTTTTTGTTTACATCAGATTTTAATTACGTATGCAGCTATCTAGCTATGACAAAATGTCAAAGAAAAGTATTGAATGGATGATTCAACGTAAGGGAAGAGCACTCATGCCTCAGATATCATTTTGTTGTGCTGGTGATGGCTAGGATTATTTCATGGATAAACGTGGCGGAAACTAGGATGGTGTCTCATGGGGAGTTTCATTCTAAAACACAGCTCGGGGTTAGATCAAGTTCTCAAACAATTAGGACAGGCTCAGGAACATAGGGTCGTTTCATAGGGATTGCGTAGTAATACTGTTTGAGACAGAGCTTAGGGCTGTCCTATTATCTGATGTACGTATATACCCAGCGTGAAGGAGTATTCTTCTTCACGCAACGTCTTCTGTTTATACTCATACCTATTGTTCACTTACTTATCTCTTCTCTAAAGAAGACCGCTGTTATTGTACCCTTCTAACCTACTACTTATTTTACCTTTGCTTCTTACGTGAACCCTATACCTAACGCTGAATTTATACCTCCTACTCTTAGGAATCACCACCATACTCCACACCTTGTTGGAAATACAGTTTCCTGCTTTTCTTTCTATCGACCAATGTGGTTGCATGCATCTTGCCTGAACTATATTTCTGAGTTCGGGCAGGATCCCACATTTCTGATCCAATCGGACTCAACGTTAGAGTCTGCTTGAATCCCATTCTTCCCGAACAAATCCAGTCATTGGTTTGTTCGTACTTCTATTGCGTGACCCAGTATTCTCAGTCAGTGGATAATTATTTTCTGGTACGGGGTCCCACTTATTTATGCAGTCGAGTCGGTTCCGGGTAACCTCTATTTCTTATAATTCCACTGTATATATCATAATACCTGTAGTCGATTAGTAAATTAAGCAAACTGAACTTCTTCTCCGTTCTCAGGCAATTCTTACTCCGAAGTCTTCTCTATACTCTAACACACCTGTAACCTACTTGTACCAAATTCGTACCCTACGGAATACTAATAACACTGCTCCTTGAGATTACGTTGCGTCCTTATCCGTACCGTACGCAAAGATGTTCGCACCAACCTCCTCACAGACACCCCCGTGGGACTCACCAAACAACGTTACCGAATTTTGCCAGCAATTCGAAAATGACTCCTCGACTCTCTACGGCCACATAGTAACGCTGATACAACGACTTCGGAACGAGAGATCTCATGCCACTACCATGCTCGAAAAATCTAATTCGGAACGAGATGAAGAAAAAAGGAAACTTGTATCCGCCTATGAAGAAAGAGATAGAGCCATTGCGCAGTTAAGTCTGGCCTACCAATCCTTCGACCAACTTGAGGAACAGTCCACAAAACCTAACCTTGAGCTCAACATTGCTCGTGCAGGATATCTTTCAAATATCCACAGCACAGAAAATACCGAAAATCCACTGTTGTGCCTGGACCCACATAGCTACAGTGCACAGCTCCAGTTATGATGGTCACGCGACTGCATGCATCTGCTCTGTTTGCTCCTGCTTCGTTGAGTTAGTATAATTAGTAAGCAATAGTCTAGGGACTATAAGTAGAGAGCTTTCGTCCACAGTAGATAGAGCAAGCAATTCAGTCTTTCCTCATTCCACAGAGATCATTCTCCACTCCTCTTCTTGACCTATCCGGCCCAGCAGCACATCTGTGATCAATAGCAGTGAACTCCCACAAATTGTATGTACACCCGAATCATAGACCTATCATAATATCCACCGAAACATAATTTCCGATCCGAGACATTCCCCGACCCGCAGAAGTTTAATGGAGCTCGGGCCGAGCTACCCGGATTCCTTACCCAACTTCGAATGAAATTGGAAGTTAACAATGACCAATTCCGAAACGAGTCGGCCAAAGTTATCTACTCAGTAAGCCGATTGGTGGGACGAGCGCTGGTCCAAGTTGTACCACTTGCCAACGCTAATCAGTCAACACCTTTTTCTTCTGTCAATGCTTTCATCGCCAATCTTAATGCATCATTTGGAGACCCTGACCCGCGAGGTACCGCACGTCGCAAACTTAAAACCCTAAAACAAGGGAATGGTGATTTTGCAGAGTACTATTCTCAATTTCTCCGTATTATTGCTTACCTGGACTATAACAAATCAGCTAAGATTGATGCGCTTGTTACGGGCATATCAGAGAACCTCAAAGACTCCTCAGATTATCATGAAGGCCAGCTAAATACCCTGGAAAAATATGCAACTATGCTTATGAATACAGACAATAAAATTCGTGGCCGGAAAGCAGAGCAAAAATACACATGGAATTCAAGTACTCAGCCTTCATATCCTACCAATGGTCACCCTTCACATCCAATCAATGGTCACCCTTCACATATCCCAGGCGGCATCACTCCCATGGACCTTTCAGCTCTCCGAAGTCAGCCTGTTGCGCGTCCACCTTTGGACCAACGTTACACCTTCGTGAATGGAACGCGAAAGACATCAGCAGCTGAAAACATTGGCGCAAGGACAATAACCTATGCATGTATTGTGCAGGATCTGGACATGTATTCAGTAACTGCCCTGTTGCAAATCGTACAAGAAACTCGCAAGCAACAGTGACAGGTGCTCTTTTGGCGCTGATATTACCTAATGACAATATAGAGTCACCATCCCTCAATGGACAGGAGCTGGGTTTTCATTAGTCCCGGATTCGAAAGATAGCCCTGATCCGGGGTCCACAGATACTTCCTTAATGTCCGCACTTTCCATATCAAGCTTTTCAGTGTCACATGCAGAGGACAAGTTAGATGGTGAACATTTAGTTGCTGCCTGTACATTAGTAACATCTAAAAAATCCATTCAAACTCACGCACTTATTGATACCGGATGCTCTGGTTTTGCTTTCATTGATAATAGTTTCGCGCGCTGTCACCAATTCTCCTTTATTGCCATAAAAACCCCTCGCACACTCAAAGTGATTGACAGAAGACCCATATCTTCGGGTAATGTTACTCACGTTTGTCGTTTACCACTAACAATTGATTCTCACCACGAAACCGCTACGTTCTTTATCACCAAGCTTGGCTCGTATCCCCTAGTGCTTGGTGTTGAAATATGATATATCTTGGAATGCCAAGAATAACTTATTAGTAAGTCCGGCTAATTTGACTATCAAATTCCCCATTCTATATCACTCTTATCAATACATCATTCACCGAAAGTTTAATGCACATTAGCGTTTATTTCACACTAGCATTCCAATGGATGACTATGTCTCAAATGCAGGTTATAGTTTTCTGGTATCTATTACCAACACACATGTATTTAGCTTTATATTCCTGACCCATATATGTGTATGTACATAGATCTACATCTACATGGATCATAACTTACGATCCATGGAGATTGATAAATACTGGTCAAAAACCACAGTTGATAAGATATGCAAATACGCAACCTCATTCTTATCATCTCGGTTTTTACTCTGAACCATACATCTAAATACAATTGTTTCCGCTCGGATCTTCCTCTCACAACCTCATACGAGACTTACTGCATTGGTCTAACCGCCGACACTGATTCCGCTACAACCTTCATCTTCGCTCAAGCTCATAACTTTAACACTTGGAATCCCATGGCTTCAGCAACACGACCCCGTGCTACAGTTTAAATATAACACAATACTTTTCAATTCCAACTACTGCAAGCAGAAATGTAACAGCTCCGTAGTCCCTATCCCA